TTTGGAAGTGGAAGAGCCTTATATATAATGACATCACACATGTTCTATTAAAAGGGTTGAGGGCCGAAAAGCTGTCATTGGTGAGGACATACATTAGTTTGTACTAATTCTCCCTTGCATTATGCATGTTGAATGGAAAAAAAAATGCAATGATGAGATATAATGATAAATTGAGTTTTATGTCCTAATCTTCTCTACACCTAATTGGGCTAATGAAGACGGACAATGCCATGAGATCTTTTAACATTCTCAGTCTGTAGCTCAAAATTCTGTTAAAGCTAAAGTGGTATGCCTAAAGTTTATGGTTGCTTTAATGGTCGGTAGTCATGTCAAACTTAAAAGCCCTCTAAGTCTGCTTTTTTACAACTGAGTTATACACTTTAAATTTATCACTTTGATGTGAACTGCTCCATGGAGAATATCCTTGTAACTCTTGTTGCCTCATTATTATGTAATATTCTATGATTGAATTCCAGTGTATAATAGCTGTTTCCATTCATGAATTTCAGCTAAATTTACCAATGGCCGACTTAAAGAGGGGAAAAGCCAAGTTCTAAAGTTTAAACATTTAACCAATGGCGATGTATTGGAAGATAATAGTAAAGATGATAATATCATATCAAGAAGTGTATTAGTAAGCAGCCTGGATCTATTTGTGTAGCAAGTCCAAATTTCATGGAATGATATTTTCAAAGCATCTGAATGAAAAGAAGAATATATACACATAGAGTAAACATTAACTGAACATTGAATATTATTTCTATTTCTCAATCTTCAAAGCTTGTTAAGGGTTATTAAAGTAGCATTGCTTCATTTCGGTTTAAAGCAACATGGAGGAACATGGTTCAAATGACATCATTAAATCTAATAGGCACTAGGTAGCATTAGATTTTATTTTTTGGCTAATCAATTTATAACTATTGGATATAAAAATAATTGAATTTAGGTTAATCCAATAATAAAGCGAAGGAAGGGAAAACATGTGTCAGGTTTCAATCCATACATTTAGATACCTGCTGATTGCATCAAAACAGCCCAGCTCAATGTGATGTCATTGGTACAGGTTACAAATTGCTTGCAGATTAGATTATGTTGATATATTTAAGGATACGTTTAAGGACACATTTCTCCAAAAAATTGGAATGTCCCTTTGAAATTGGCTAATCAAAGAAAAAATCACTTGAAAATTGTGAACCCTGGTGTGATTACGCTGGAATGATTGATCCTGGTATGATTTATCCTGGTATGATTTACCCTGGTATGATTTTTCCTGGTAAGATTTATCATGATTTACCCCGGTATGATTTATTCTGGTATGATTTATCATGATTTACCCTGGTATGATCTATCATGATTTATCCTGGTATGATCTATCATGATTTACCCTGGTATGATCTATCATGATTTATCCTGGTATGATCTATCATGATTTATCCTGGTATGATTTGTATTGGTATGATTTATCCTCACAAAACTTTCCTATGTCCATCCCTCTGACATACAGAAGTGTATTCCAGATAGCAAAAAGAGAAACAGATACCTGTCAGACATATATTGGTGATACACAGAACAATAGTCTTTCATCACAATTTTATAAGTAGGTCCATTTTTATTTTGTGATAATCTTAAAACAGTTTGTACAGTCAGTGACATTTGTAAGACAATGCGCAATGATTATAATATATAAAGGGACAGGTGGGCCATTTTTTTTTTTAGACCAATCATATTTTAGTCTCAGAAACAGGAATTTTTCACATAAGCCAATCAGTAATAGTGTTCAAAGCTCACTGTGAGCTTTCAAACACATGTGTGTCCAGAATTATCCGCGATTGAATGTTAAAATGGCGTGTCGTCAATTTAAGATACTCTGTGATAGCCTATATAGAAAATACATATATAGAAATAGTGAGTAAAATTCCTGGTTTGAAGTACTTTTCGTACATTTCTAGTACTTCTGAAGAATATTTGCATATAATCAAGACTTAATCAAGACCCCCCCAAAATTGCGCACCTATCCCTTTAAACATCAATAATATGAAAATAGTACTGAACTCTCAACTTAAATTGAAAAATAATAATTACAAAATATGCTGGTCCATTGATAGCAGAAACCTACACAAAAATGATGTAATCCATGTCTAACCGAAAAGCTTTCAATCATTAATACCCCCAAGAACACTTCTTTAAACAAACAATCCAAACTTGTCTCAAAGTGTAGACATGAGAATAAGTTCTTCTTGTCCAACTTCGGTAGGGATGCAGGCTGAATTATATAGGTCAGTTGTCTGAAGATTGCATAGCGTGAAACTCTGATTAACAACAACATGTAGTTTTACATTATATTTTTCTGCTTCTCATTTGAAAATGAAGACCAGCAATGTCTTGCATTGTGTAATTTGCCACGACAGTGTTATTTTTGGAAGGATTATATATTTGCATGGCCTGTAGCATAAGGGTTCTTGGTTTATAGTCCAAACCAATTGATCTAACACCTTTTCCATGTTAGTCCTTACTATCAGGACTTGTGCTGAGAACAAACAAGTCAGTGCCAATCTAGGGTAAAAGCTAAAGGTATATATGCATTATGAACCAAAACAATAACACAATTTGAATTATTTCTAGTTATTATGTTGGTGTAAGAAATAAAAGAACTGGTAAAATGAAAGTATTTGATGCTGAACTCTTTAATATGATTCCTGATGTAAAAGGTAGACTTGAACCCTTTAGTCATATTTTAAGTTTGTAATAAAGAAGAGTTAATAGAGCAAATTCCAATTTCTATTATATTTCTATTCCCAGCTTTTCTCTTTCAATAAACGCTTTTTTCAAGTCTCATTTGAAACAGTAAAAATAAATCACTTGTCCAAAGAAAAGAACCTCATCATAAAATCACTACCTTCAAAACTGAAACAAGTAAAAGAAGTTCAAATGAAAAATTGTATTTATTGCCCTTGTTTCTAATGATATTTTGAGTTATATCTGCAAGAAGCAACCACTTTTAACCAGCTGGTGCTAGTTAAACCTCTTAGCATTGATCTTTGCCAGATTTTCCATAAATTAACACACTACCAACATTTGATGGACTTTACCAAGCAAACAATGTCATGGAAAGATTCCAGCACTCTCACCAAATATGCTACAGCCCGTCCTAGATATAAACTTCCTTAATGAAACTGATCAGTAATATAATTCAAATTAAAACTCTGTTTACATTACAAATATTATCCGTTCTGAGAACAGTTCCGAGAACGGAATGGATGAAAAATACTAGTGTAAATGGTCAAGTGTTCTAAGAACAGTTTCAATTTGAGACTACCGAGGTGAAATGGTCTCGGAACAGTTCTCAGAATGGAACAGTTAAAATTTGGTGGTGTAAACGGTGGAGCGTTCCAAAAACAGTTCTTATGCATGCGTCTTGATGCTTTGACATGTTCCACAGTTTCTGGGAGCAGACGAATTTGCCTTCATCTGGGTTATTAGAACGTCTAAAATTAACTTTTTTGTGAAGAGTATAATTTAAATGTGTCTGATTACATTTACACTGTTGTAGAACTGTTCACGGAACGCTCAAAATTGTAGTAGTGTAAAAAATTGGTAATTTTATAGCGTCCAGGTCTAGACCGAGAACGGAACACTTCTAATGTTAACAGGGCTGTAGACAAGCTCTATATAGAATTGATTATGATTTTGTAGTTGACAGTATGAAAGAAGATAAGCTAGATAAATTATTACCAATGACATATACCGACCAGGTTAGTCAGCAATATTTTAACATCATTCAACTTTTATCAATGACTTTTAGTTCAGATCTTTTGGAAGTTTTACATCAAATGGTTAATGAAGAGAAAAATGTGTCAGAAAAGTTAAAGAAATGTTGGTGTCTAAATAATGTACTCTCACAGCTGTGAAGCTTGTTTTCAAATTTGTGATACTGGTTGAAAGTCAACTCCTTGGCCACTCTCAAAAGCATTGTCCTTAGTATTAGAATATTTCTTGGCTTTATGATGATGCTAATCTACAAAATTGAATCGCTTAGTAGATGACAATCCAAAATTTTTTTAACCTTTTTATCTTCATTTTGATTTCAAATATCATTTTCTGTACTGAACAGATGAAAGAATTAACCAAAGCATTTGGTAGCACCAAACGCCAGCGCCTGGTAACTCAGGCCCAAAAGAATGAATTAAAAGAAGATGTGTTGGAATCAGCTATTGGGAATGCTGTAGATCACGCTGTTTCTCAGGAGAATTACACAGAAATCATGGCTAAAAAACCTACAGATGATTCGAATAATTGTATACCTACTCATCATTTAGATACTGATAAACCTGAAGATATTTATAAAGCTGAAGAAAGTAAGTATTGTTTTCTTCCTTGGTCAGTATTATGGTTATCAGTTATAGACATCGTAATAAGCTTTCTGAAAGGGACAGGTTGGCCATTTTTTTTCACCAATCTTACCTGGTTCAGTCTCAGAAACGGGAATTTTTTGGCTAAGCCAATCAGTTATAGTGTTTAAAGCTTACTGTCGAAATTTGAACCTTCAAATCCATGTGTGTCCACGATTGAATGTGAAAATGTAAACTCGTCAATTTAAGATACTCTGTGATATATAGAAAAGACATACATAGAAATAGTGAGTAAAATTCCTAGTTTGAAGTATTTTTAAAGGAATTACGCGATTTTCTTACATTTCTAGTACTTCTGAAGATTATTTACATACATTCAAGATTAAAATGAACACCCCAAAATGGCGCATCTGTTCCTTTAAGTAAAATCGCAAGAACCACAGAATGAAATGGTGCAAATCAATGCTAACAGTGTCCTGGAAACACATTAAAAATCCTGCTATTATGAAAGTTAAATTTTTATATACAAGATCCCTGGTTATATTTCAATGCTTCTGTTAGTGAATAGATTGAAAATATTATCCCTGATCCAGGTCCTTTGATTTGGTTGTAATTTCCAGACATGACCGACAAACCAGCTAAAATGTCCTTTTTTGGAAAGTGTCTACCGAACATCAAGTTGCCGGTCAAAATTCAAACTGTGGTAGAAGTAAATAAACTCAGTCAATGATATATTTCAGTAATTGGAGGTAAAGAAATGGCAGCTATAACTAATTTAACACAGAAATTGTTTGATTTTACGTCAGAAGATTTTCAGAATGAAGAGGGGTAAGTAGATTGGATGGAAGATCTGTGTTGTATGTAAAATAGTGAAGAAAATTCCTAGTTTGAAGTATTTTTTAAGGAATTATGCGATTTTCTTACATTTCTAGTACTTCTGAAGACTATTTACATATATTCAAGATTAAAATCAACCCCCCAAAATGGCGCTCATGTCCCTTTAATATTTCATGTGAGATATTTTTAGACTGAAGTCTCCTTTGTAGATTTGGACACTATATTATGAATCGATTGCCAATTTTACCGCTAGATGAAACAAGACGCTGGGAGAAATGTAAATGTTTGTTGTACATACATTGTTTGATTGTATTATATAGAAAAAAGGCCAATGAATTGAGAGCTAAAGGTAATGTAAAACTTTGATTTACCATAATTATGTCTTACCAGGGCTCTAAATGAGATTGATTTTTTATGAGGCAAAATCCTGTTGTCTTTGAAGTCTTTCATTGTAACGCTTTACACTTTTACTGTAGACATCAATTAAGCAATAAATTTAGCTATATTTTCACATATTTATCCAAAACTTTTTTATTTTTATACGCCTACATAATAATGTGGGTGTATATCGACGTCGCTCCTGTCCGTCTGTCTGTCCACAATAGGCTTGTGAACACAATAGAGACTACAGTTTTTATCTGATTTATATGAAATTTGGAGTAAATATTTATAATGATGAGATCTTAGACAAGTTGGAATTTGACGACCTTTCGTTGAACATTTTTTGAGTTGTCATTAACTTAAGAAAAACACATCAAAATTTGTTTGTGAAAAATAGAGACTACAGTTTTCATCTGATTTAAATTAAATTTGGTGTGATCATTTATAATGATGAGATCTTGGACATGTTCGAAGTTGACTATCTTTCGATGAACGTAATTTGAGTTATTGCCCTTGACTTGAGATATGTGTCAAAATTTGTTGGCTTGTGAAAGTGATAGAGGTGACAGTTTATTTTAAAAAATTTTAAAATATTTGTGTGTACAAGATTTTTGGTATAATTTACACAGATTGGTGACTGTACTTGATATACTGAAAATGTATCAGGAAAGTGAGTGTATCCGCTTGTTATTTTTTTGGTCAAATTTGCTTCATAACACATACCTTCCATATATCCTGATGTATATTCTTGTAAGAGTAGTCCTTTCACCAAAAAGTTGAGTCTAGGATTTTTATTGGATTTAATAGAACAGAGTACCTTACCCAATTTCTTCATCCAATCAGAATTGGCTAAATTATCTATTTAGTGAAGATTTATTTCATTAAGGATTTCTCAATCTCGTGACATTGACTAACAGCTAGTAGTAGATTCTGTATTATTTGTTGTGACCAATATTGCCTATGTTACTGACTTTATGCATTGTTTTTTTTTTTTTAATTTTAGACATTTTACCTAAAGCCTGGCCAGATATATTAAAACAGTCCTTGTTAAATAATTTCACATTAAAAATTGAAGGAGATGGCAAGAAAAGGGCTTCCAGGTAAAATTTGGTTAATGAGTTATTGACCTTTCATAGTAGCCCTATTTCTTTAAATTTGAAGAGTTGTGTGTTGGTACAGAAACATAAAGTTGTGGTTTCCTACTCTTTCCAATTGTTATTTCCATAATTCTTCAAAAATGTTTGATTTGCTTCCAAATTCTATCAAACACATAGTCATTTTAAAAGGTTTATGTAAACCCTTTATATAGCTTTGGAGTTCTCAAAATTAAATGATACTTGAGACCCTTTTCACTTATAGTAAGGGACAAATTTCTTTAGATTCTGGTTCATAACTTTCATTCATTGAAGCACCCTACTTTCCTTCCTACTAAAAAATCAAACTGCCCCTTTAACAATTTGAAGTTTATTTTGGTTTCAAGCAGTAACAGCTCAATATTTTTGGGTTTTTTTGAGTTAGAAGAAGAAGGAGATATAAATTTTGGGCTATACCTTTCATTAATTTGAGCTTATTATTTGTTTAACCTGCTTAAAATATCAGACTGCCGCTTTAATATAACCCTCTGTTATTTGCAGCCCTATTATATGTATAAAGTGCTGATAATAGTCTTTTATTTGTAGGTGTATGTCAGTACGAATGAAAGACAAAATTATTCTCCATATTCTGGTCTTATGTCTTATAGTTGATAATTTTACTTTGGAATATTCTGATATTCTGAAAGATTTAAAAATTGGTGAAAAAAGGTAAGTGTAATTGAATTTTGAATGCAGAGTTTCAAACATTGTTGACTTTGAAATTCAATAATTTTCAAATATATCACAAGTATATGAATTAATTTTTATAAATATAATGCAACTAGCTAACTAGTTATTTTTTAACTAGCCTAAGAAGGAAATCAATCGTGACCAGAAAATGATGTTGGATTACGCAGAATGTCGGAATACTCAGATGTCAGATATCACAGAGTACACTTTACTTTCACTTTCTAGGAGTCTTAAGAAAAGACTTGTCGTCATTATAACCTTAATACGAGGTTAATTCTGGACACACATGGATTGGCTCAAAATTCGAGGGTGAGCTGTGAACCTCTTTCTGAGGTATTATTGCTGGGTGAACCTGTACCTTCAACAGCTCAATCAATTATTGATGAGTTAATGCCCCTGACAGCAGAAGTTAAATGAGTGATGATATAAAGCCAGTTTCACTAGTTTGCTTATGTTTAATATAATAATATGAATGATAAGGTAACTTTGTAAATTTCAGGATGCCTTTATTACTAAGAAGTGTTGGTTGTCAGATCAAGTCTAGAGTTGTCAATAAAGTCAATGTTAGAACAGCACATCTTACAGCTCCCTTACTGTTACCATCACAAAATTTATTGTCTTCAAAACGCAAATAAAAAAGTTGATTGTTAACAGTGACGTCTCCTTTATGGTGAGGGCAAAGATACAGCATAGCACTTATTAACTAATCTTATTTCTCATGCCCCATCCAGTGTTTAAAGGAATGCAGATTAGATGAAAAAGTTGTTTAGGTGTTATTAATATGATTAAAGGGACAGGTTTATCATCCGTTTGAAAAATCGTACCTAAGTCTCAAAAACTGGAAATGATTTGCATAATTGATCACCATAGTTTTCTCAGCTCATCGTCGAAATTTGAGCCTTCAAATCCATGTATCTCCACAATAGTCTGCATTTGAAAATATAAAAGACGACTGGTCTTTTCTTGAGACTGCATATAGAAAAGACATAGATCACTCTCAACAATTGATATACTGAGTGCTATTTTAACTGTGAAAATATTTCATTAATGTAGAACAGACATACATAGTCAATGGAATTCCTAGTTTGAGATATTTTGGAAGGAATTATACAAGAATTTTGTACATTTCTAGCACATCGAAGACTATTTACATATATTCAAGACTCAAATCAATGTCTGAAAATGGCAAATCTTTCCCTTTAAATTTCCTTTCCACCGTCTAAAATATACTTAATAACACAACACACTTATATCACATTTCTTTATTTTACACCAGTATAGTTATACAAGTAGTGTGCAACATGAAAATAAATTTCTTAAAATAAGAATTTGGAAAAAATTAGGTTGTTACATAAAATTGAATAAATATATTTACAAATTTGCAAAATAAATGTTAATAATAAAATGAAGCACAAAAATAAATTAATAAATTCAGATATTTACAATAATTGTGAAATTTAGTTAATAAATATGATTGTAAATAAGTTTATAATTGCATGCTTAATTTGGAAATATTTATACAGAAGCATCATGCATGGAATTATATTGCAATTTTTGAAAATTTTAATTATAACTCAGGAAGTCTTAATTGAATAAATAAATTAATTAATAATAAATGTAAGTTTATGACATCAATAAATGGCTGAAATAAATATTATATATACGTTTAAATACTGATATTTCTCTTGATATATAATGTAATATATTAAAGGGATTGTAAAGAGGTTTTTTAATTTTGTATGTGTATCAGGGACAATGATAGCATCAATTTGCACCATTCCAATTTTCAATCAGACGTCTTTGGTTCTAGCAATTCTACTAAAACTAAGTGTTTTATGATGTCTTCTTCGCAAGGTCTTGTGTGATACAAGGAAATTTCGTGGGGGTGACATCATAGAACACTTAGTTAAAGTGGAATTGCAGGAACCACAGACTTCTGATTGAAAATTGGACTGATTCAAATTGATGCTTTAAGTGTGCCTGATATGCATAAACAATTTTAGAAAACCTCTTTACAATCCCTTTAATATTCATATTAAGAATGAGGGGATTTAAATTGAATTAAGAAATAATTTAAATAAATAAATATAATGTGAGATATATAATTAGAAATGAGATCAAAATTGTAAAATCATGCTGTATCACTTATCAGAATTAAAATCAAGCTCATATTCAAGTTTTAAACTAAAATAAAGTATTGAATGTTGTGACTTTCAGGCTATTATGAACAATTCTATATTGAATAATAATAAATATATCTCTTGATTATTATTACTTCAATTAGAATAAATGATTTATTACATTCATAATGCCTGCATCGGTTAATAATTAATAAATAAATTAATAATAAATATAAGTCTATGACATCAATAAATAGCTGAAATAAATATTATATATAAGTTCAAATACTGATATACCACTTGATATATAATGGAATATATTAATATTCAAAAAAACACTAGATGTGATGATAGTCATAAAAGCGCCATAGTAAGTTATTGCTACATTAAAGGGGAATCCATGCAAATCTGCAAAAGTAGTATAGATAGCTGGGATTGAGATCTATCGTCTGGTAATGTAAATATATAAAAGACTGTATCCTTTCAATATAAGATTAATTATTCAAGTTTAAATATTCCTTGATTATAAGTGGCACAGGAAGACAAGTGATGGCCTTTTCCAAGGAATACTGTGAAATTGCACAATTTGCAAGATGATGTCGAATAGAATTTCTACATATTTGTTTCAAAGAAGATGGTGCTTGGAATTTATTTACTGGCAAATACTTAGCTAATTGTGAATTAATTGTAAAACAGCTTTCAGGCAGGTCCTTGATATGGTCTTTATGGCTCCACTGAAGACCTGCTTCAGAGATTTTTATGTTGCAAACACTTTTAAGCATTTCATGCAAACAGTCTAATGTGGCATGAAAATAGTTACCACAATCAAAAGAATATTTCATGAATGTACAATAACTATTTAAACTGCTTATTATATACGCAAGGGGAGACTGCATGAAATTGTCGCCACCTTCCCCAGTCACCCCTAATCGATGTAATGGGTTAGCTCCATGACGTAATAACAACAACACCAGTCGGGAATCTCTTGTTATCGCTGCGGCCATTAAAGGTGTTGAAAATTTATATATGTCGATTGCTTCGTGAATAATGCAGTTTAATATTTGTGGATGGATACTTTTTAAATAATAATTAAATGTCGGATAGAGTGTGTCGTCAAAATTTGATGAAACTTTTGGATAAAGCGTAAAACTGTCGATGTTCATGGAGGGGGATTCCTTTGTCACTTGACATGACAACACACTAAAAATAGAATGGAGGTTTCTCTCACAATAAAAAATTTCTGAAATTAGCTTTCTGGCTGTATTTTGGGACATCATCCTCAATTCATAGCATAATCTTAAAGCAGTAAATAAATTGTTGTGGGCGACTCGAGAGCAGACACTGGTTTCTCTCGTTTTGACCACAGTTTCACGATGGATTTCCGTGAGGGCGTTTACAAAAGCAGTCAGAGAAAACCTTTGTTGACCTAGTTCACTCTTAGACACTTCCTTCTGTAAATATTGCTTGTACATTTTGATCCATTCTTCAAAATTTTCCAGGATATCAAAATGAACAAACTTGCTGCAATGAGTAGTCTTTGTATGTCGATGGGTTCCCATCTTTATCTTAACAAAACGTTGAACGAATCGGCAATATCATAACATAACTGGATTCTCTCGTTTGTAGGTCATGGAATATATTATTCGACGTCTGCTCACTTCAAAAGATCATTTCAAAACTGTATCCTCAAAGTCATCGTATCTTTGTTGCCTCATTTCTAAAACTAGATCCAGGATATCCAAGGCATTCTAGCCCTGCCATTGTAATTTCCCTTCAAACAGTCCTCACAGCTGTTGCCGACCCTATCGATATCATGTTTTTGGACTCGTCAATTTATAAAAGAAGTTACCTCCCTTACACCAACAGACCACAATTATTTAACTGCAGTCATACCAGAGCCGTCTCTATATACGGCTCTGAGTCATACATTTGAAATTACTGAAGGCCTTAAATGATTTTTTGACATTGTGTTTGATATTGAACAGATATTATAATAATATTCCACGGAGGTCAAAATAACTGCAGGCCAAAGGGAAATAACCCCAGACAGCAGAAAATCTCATGGCAGATTTGGAACCACTCCAGTTAGACTATTAATTTTATGCTATGCTAATGATTGTATACGAATTCTATCGTCCATTTGGGGGTTTTGCATGCCTATTTTTGAATTATTTCTGGTCTAGATTTGGAATTTGATATCTGAAATTGGATTTTCTTTCTGATTTTGTCAGGTGAAGAGAGAATTTCATGCGGAGGGATAATTCTAAGAATATTCGTTTTGTGTGCATTGACAGTCAAGCGGATGTTGATATAATGTAGTGGTCTACTTTCAGTTTGGCTACTTCAAGATTTTCATGGTCATGCTATATTGAATTTTTGTCAAGAAAGTAAACATTGGCCAGGCTTTCATGTGACATACTGGAAAGTTTTCAACGAGATTTCAGGAAAAAGTTATAGAAGGTTGAATTTTGAGATTTAACATGGAAACAGAGGGCAAATGAATTACCGGAATGTGTCCATTTAACCATTAGCCAGAATGTAGGTACGGCCCATGCTTGGGAATATGACGAGATGGACCGAAATAGATGAACATGAAAGCACTTTGATCTATTTGTGTTAATAAATGTATTGACAGTATTGTAAATTGATGTATGTAAAGATGTATAGAGGTCTAAAGGATGTCCACTTTATATGCGTCTTGCACAATCCTATGCTTTTGAAAGAATTTAAATGAATATGTATAATTCTAGGTATTCCTCGATTCCATATTAAAGTCTGCGCAAATCCCTTCAAAAAAAGGTTTATTCCCATTTCGCCCCTTCCAAATTCGTCTCCAATTTTTTCCCATTTTGCCCCTTCCCATTTCGCCACTTCCCATGATTATCCCTTCCCGATTTGCTCCTTCTTATTTTGCCCCTTTCCCATTAAGCCCGTTTTCCCATCGTTTCCCGTTCTGCCCCCTACCGATTTTGCCCCTTATTCCCACTTCGCAGTTCGCCCCTTTCCTAATTTTCAATTGGAATTGGACAGTACAAAAGTAAAGTTGAATACAGACAAAGAATTGCAACTAAATTTACAACAGAAAACTTTGAATATGACGTAATCGACCGTCAAACATTTTTATATAATTTCCACTTATTGAAGTTATTGAATACAAATTAATTTTGTTTGTGGTTTAAAAATTTTGCCCTGGCAGCGACATTCCAGCCTACTCTTTTTCAAATTCCAACTACTCCAGAACTAAAATGCACACGGGACCGGAATTCAAATCGGAACAAGCCTAATTCATTATGTGATCTAATAATATAAAAGGAAGGGGCGAAATGAGATGGCGAAATGGGCATTCTTATTTTCCTTAAAACTGTATGACACCATTACACTGTCTAGACTGATACTCTGTTGGTTGTTGGAAATCCTTAAAATTTCTTGAGATGTTATGGTTGTAACAGACTAGATGCTGCGATTCAAGAATTTTCTTTTTCAAAGTATTGATTAGTCACCGAGATCCAACCTATTTCACTGATATATAAAAAATGCCACACGATCTGTAATAAAGTGTATAAAATAGTTTGCCAGGCAAAGTAATATACGGTCACTGGCAGCTTTGATTTTGAATGAAAATATTTGGCAGTACAGTAACAATTACCAGTATGAAATATTCAACCTTCAGTCTTTAACTTCTTTTGAACTTTTTTGGGCGATACTGAATAATATTACAAAGTTTCGTAAAAATCGGTCAACAATTGGGCCCTGTAGTGTGTTTATGGGCTAAAAATTGGACGTGTTTTCAAGAACAAGTGCAATAACTCATACTAAATATTTTTCGATTTTTCTGATTTTCAATAGGGTTCATCCGTTGGTGATAACAAACACTTACACCAAGTTTCGTCAAAATCTGTCAAGAACTTCTTTTGTGTACGGACCAACGAACGGACATGGGTGATGGCAATATACGCTCCACATTTGTTGTGGGCGTATAATAAAAGCGTCCAAAAACTGGAGGAGGCTAGGAAGCTACAATTATAAAGTAAGGCCGCTCATTGTTTATAAAGAACAAAATCAATGACATGTATTAAAATGTTTTATTTCCACAAATCTAGACAGACATAATTTAAATCTTCCTGTAGGCAGTTTTAACGTATTAGACTTGTTCGATCTAGAATAAAATCATATATATAATATAGTATCTGCATCACCCTGGGTCTGTACAAATAGAATACGTAAAACGAGAAATAAAATGAAATCTTCAAGATATAAAAGTACTGCGCATGTACCAATTGCCAAAGTTAATATTTGACACATCATATTGGTTTCTATGGTAAACAAGTCAACATAGAGAAGTAGAACTTATGTGAAATATAGTCAATATGTAGGTTTGCCAAAATGAACCAATCATGTACTCAAAAGTACTAGAAAGTGTAAAAAGGTAGCCAGACTGTTTCAGTGCTCAACATACGTGTTAACCGTTACATTTTTATTCCTGCTCAACACTAGAAGCCCGTAACAAATTAATATCAAATTTTATTACTAGATGTATCGCGAGCTTCATGTCTTAAGAATTCGCAGAGATGTCTAACATCTTGAGTCATCGCGTCGGAACTGGTAGAGTCACCATATTGTGCACATAAAGATTTTATAGCAGCTATTACTGCTGCTGTGAATTGGAAATGATTCTATGAGGCTATATCCTCACCCACCCGTGATATAATACATCAGGTCTAAAAGGTATCTCGAAGAAAGTCATTCACAGCATGTGGTACTTACGACCTACTATTTTGTTCAAACTTTGGGCAATTGCAACAGTTTGAAAAGACCAAGACCGTATTCTTACCTTAAAGTTGCTTAAATTTCGAATAATCAACTATATAGTATCAATATTTACCTGTAGATAATAATAATATTACAATCTTATCTTATACTTCGTATCTAGTTAATCATAGAAATAATCATTGTTATTTATTTATACTGAACAGATAAAGAAACGTCGCAATTTCAGATTATTTGAACAAAGTTCAACGATCAAAATTGTTATTTTTCTTTATAAATATGATTTTTAGACTTTAATAAGACCAGTGTGGTTGAAAGACACCCGTGTGGAGGACAAAGCATTATGGTATGAGTTGCAATCGGCATCAGTCAGAAACTTGTTGTCTTCCAGAATATCGGCCCAGGCAGAGGCATAGACCAGGTTCTTCGACACCACGCTGTATTGTATTTTTGGAAGACGCCGAAAGCACACCTTCCAGCATGACAACGCTCATCCACACACTGCCATAGTCACCAGAACCTTCTTTCAACAGCATAACATCAGAGTAATGCCATGACCCTCACTCAGCCCGGACTTCAACCCAATAGAAGACTGGGATGGCACCCAAAGACAACTATATCTGATCTATCCGCTTCCAAGAAATGCAGCAGAACTCTGTGCAGCTTAAAGAGTCTGGGCGCAGATTCCAATGGCGCCTGTAAATCGGTTGTGCCACTCCATCCATGTACAGAAGATGCCGATAAATATCACGATATTGTTTCGTCCTATGAAAACCATTCACTATCATTTTACGTCTTTTTTGACATCTCCAAAGCCTTAGATCGTGTCTACCACCGAGGATTACTTCACAAACTTAGATCATATGGCCTGGACGAAAACACACTGAAATGGCTATTCAGCTAGAACAAAGAGAACACAGTCTGTGTTAGTAAACAACTGGACATCAAATCCAATAACCCTAACCCGGCGTCCCACAAGGGTCTGTCCTCGGCCCATTTCTTAGTAGTACTAGAGCTTATAGATTGGTCGCACGGGGATTCCCCATTCCATTTCATTTCATGGGAAAATGCGACCAATCTATAAGCTCCCAAAAAAAGACCTATACACCTTCATTTCATAAATTCTTTCACCTAAACACCCTTCATTTCATAAATTCTTACACTAAAAAAAGACCTAAACACCCTTAAATTATTACACCTAAACACCCTACATTTCTTACACCAAAAGCACCTTCAATCAATTTCCTACATTCCATAAAAAAAAGCATATTAAAAATACCCTTATATAAAATAACTTCCTTGTTTCGCTTAACATCCGGTTTTTTAATAGCCTCGTTTTAAATAATGTTATTTTTAGTAGAAGGGAGATTTAGATTATACGATCCGATTCGTTATTCATTTAACAAGAAAAAAGAGGATTATATTATCATCTCACCGAAATTAGAAAAAAAAACTCGCCCGATGGGCGAGAAGTATAGTATCTGTAATGTACTGATTGTTTTTAGTTTACTATGAACAATATTATCATTTAAGTTCTTATTTTTTGAATATGCAACTATCATTTTCTGCTTTTAGACATGGGGGAATTTCTCTTGAAGGCTCTTATAGTGGGCATGAACTATCTTGCTTGCTCGATTGATGGTTGTATTAAACGGGACAACAAAGGGTGCTATGCCTACATTATGATGAATATTTAGTCCTATAGGTCTTGCTGTATTCAATGTCTCAATCCAATGGGCCTCCCTAGATTGACGGAATTTGGTAGTTTCATCTTCGGGCAAGTCAATTTCTATACGCTCAATTGGGATTAGGGTGAGATCGTCTATTGAATGGTCGTCGAGGTTGAAATGATTAGAAATTTGTCTTTCTTTAATTTGATGTCTGACCTATGAGCATTAAAGCGAGTTCGTAAATTATTCTTAGTTTCTCCTACATATTGTTTGGGGCATTTCTTGCATGAAATTAAATATATTACATTCGAATGTTCACATGTTAGATGTTCCTGGATCGGGTACCTTTTATTCGTAGAGTTGCTTACAAAATAATGAGTTTCTGATATAAAGGGACGTGTTTTGCATCTACTGGACAAACATGGAGCACTTCTTAAACCTGGAGGTACTTCGGCATAAAGTCTGTTTTAGATGCTATCTGTGCTAAGGTGGAATTTTTTATGTTTCGTAAAAATCGTTTAGAGTACCTACGCTCTTTCAGTTTTGAGAAAACAATCGTACAGGCTTGGTTGAAATCAGAAGATCTTGTACAAATTCGATGAAATCGTAAAACTTGTGACTTAATTATACCAGAAAAGGTATGTTTTGGGTGAAACTCTTGTGCAAGAGTTGATGAGTATCAGTTTCTTTGAAATACACATTAATATCCAGTTTTTTGTTTCTGCTATGGAATCTCCCTTAAAGACTGTGGTCTCGAGACAGTCCATGCTTTTGTCACTCACGTTTGCGGTTAGTTTGATAGAAGGATGGTGGTTGTTGAGAATTTCAAAGAATTCCCAAAACTGTTCGATAGAATAAGTCCAAACCATAAAAATGTCATCCAAAAAGCGTCCGTAAAAAAGTGGGTCAAATGGACAGAGGGCCAACACCTCACGTTCCCACTCTGCCATGAAAAGGTTTGCGTACGAAGGGGCGAATCGTTTGCCCATTGCTGTCCCTGAAGTTTGTAAATATGTTTTACCATTAAATGTGAAATCGTTTCGACAAAGACAAATCTCTAAAAGCTGTAGAATTGCATCGTCGGGTCTGTTTGGATCTGGGTTTCTATTAAAAGCTTTACGAACTGCCGTTAAACCAGTAGTGTTATCGATATTGGTATACATAGAAGAAACGTCGATATAAATTAAAAAAGCATTAGAGGGAACTCGAAGATTTTTTATTTTATTTTGACAAAATCGGTTGTGTCTTTAAGGTAGGCACGATGTTGGCATGCTAGAGGTAGTAAGAAATGATCTATGTATTCTGACACTGCATATGACTCACTACCACAGTCAGATATAATCGGACGGCCTTTAGGGATTTTATTCGAGATAAACCACTCCTTGGTTGGATTCTTATGGATTTTAGGCAAAGTGTACAAATGTCTCTCGCGAAAATCAGGTTTGGCAGACAGATAGTCATATTTTTTCTGTTTGAGATAACTAGTTTTGACTAAATCGGCAAGAATATTGTTAATTCATTAATTTATTATAAAATTCTTCTGGAACACTATCAGTGGGATTTAAATCTGGAAAGTTATGTGTTATTCTGTCTAACATTTTTGTTAGTTTTTCTAAATCAATTAACGTGCAAGAATAATGAATAGCTTTTTTTCGCTATAGGTTTCGCAATCCCATGCGTATAAACAATCATCGTGAATGGTTGGAAAAACGTTTAGTTTTAGAGGTGAAACTTGCGTTACCGTATTATCATCTCTACAAGTTCTCCATACGTTTTCATCGTAATTATCTTCTATTTCAGTAATGCCTAAGGTTTTGTTATTTCTTCTAATGAGACAGAAATGTGATTTATGTAAGTAAAATACCCAATCTAATTCCTCAGATACTTTCTTTGGTTGAAAATGATATATAAACATATAGCACATGTTCTCTTATTGGTGGTATTAGAAAAACTATATTTTGTTGACTTTTATGAATATCAATTGAGGTAAATAAACCTTTATCAACAAAATAAAAACTATATTTTGTTGACTTTTATGAATATCAATTGAGGTAAATAATCCTTTATCAACAAAATATAGTTTTACATATTCAAAGTCTGTCGTTCGTAAAAACTCATAAATCTTTATTTTTTTATTTTGTGGTTCTGGATTTCTAATAATACTCGTTGATGGTGGACTTTCCGTTTCCAAAATCATATTAAATTCATCTAATGTAAAAATATCATTTTTTTTATCTGGTATGATTAACATTCTAAACCTATCTATATATTTTCCACTCGTTTTAATTTCATATAAGTGATCAACCTTGTTGTTTTCGTCGTTACTTTCATATTCTTTAGTTTCTACATTGTCTCTACCATTGATAAACTGAAGAACTTTACGAGCGTTAAATTTATTAGATGATGGTGATCCTTGTGTGAAGAATATTGAATCAACTTTTACCTGTATACCTGTATTACCTGTATTAGTTTCTAGAGCATTTAATTCCTGTTGAAACGTATCTTCATTTTCACCTGGAATGTTATCTATTAATTGTTGAATGTCTAATTTTTGTTTTGCAATCTTATCCTATAATTTAGATATTAATGAAATTAAATTTTGTAACTCAGTTTTGTTCACTACGTCGACCAATTGTTCTTGAATAAAACTTATTAAACCTGCTACTTCTTGTTGTAGTTTAGTTTCATTAAAAAAAAATTTATTATTTAGTTGACGTTTGAAGAATCTTTTCACATTACTTATTTTATCTTCTAAATGGTTTTTATTTACTTCAATGGAATTTATTAATTCCCGTAAATATTTCTTGTGAACAGCGTCATTATCGTTTTCCGGAGACTTCAAATTAGTTACTTTGAAATTGTTCAGATCTAAATCACCTTGAAGAGTGTCTCCGATTTGATCCACAAAGTAAGGTTTCGCTTTATTTATCCACGCTGTAGTGTTAAGTTTTTTAGTTTCTAAAGATAAAGAACCTAATCCAAACTTGTTCGCCATTTTTATTGAGTTAAATTTATTACAATTTCTTCAAACTGTTTTCCTAAACTTAATTGATATAATACCCAAAGTGAAAGCTGACCACAAAACTTTTGTCCCGGTAATTGAATTTGAAAGGTAGAACATTTGATTGGTTGATTAGTCAATTTCATTATCTCTTGAGTGGGTTCTAATCCATAAAAATCGAAGAAGTATAATTCATTTGAAATGTCTTTGTACAAAGCAGAATGATGAACTCCTTTTTGATCGGAAGTATGTATATTTGTTATAGCGTAAAATTTGCCTTTCTTATATTTCAGATCATTTATTTCATCTCTCATACAATAATAAAACGGTGATATATTTAACTCATTCGCCCATCTCATAAGTTGAAAGTTTGTGGTTATATCGGTTTCATATTTATCGAGAAAGATATTCATTTTAAAAAGTAGGTTTTTTGAAGTTCGTTTTGATAAAACCTACCTATGATTTGTTCTTTGTCTTGATCGATTAATTCATATGTCCGAGGTACTGTGGTGTTTACTTTATCAACGATGAATATTTCGTTTGTCCAGTATCCAACGTAACCTTTTTCGAATTTGCTTTTATATTTGAAAATACGAACTCGATCTCCGACTTTAAATTTGGGTTTGATATTTAAATTCTTTATTTCATTTTCGTAGTTATGTTGCGCGTTAATTGACATTATAATATTTGGATTACTCGAGGTTTGTGTTGGTGTGACAACTATAGATGAATGAATTTTGTTATTGTATTCATCTGCAACCTCTGGTAATATTTTAAGCCATTTTTGAGATTTCAATTCCGTGAACTTTTTGAATAATTTATTTTCTATTATATCTCTCAATAACTACAGCTTTACCTTCTCAATCCCAGAGATTTCATATTTTTGTTATAAAATTCACTTCCTTTATCTACCCACAGTTTTTCTGGATGACGGTTAGATTGTTTCATAATCGTTTCAAATTCGTGTTTGACTGATAATCCCGTTTTGTTTTTCAAAGAAATAACCCAAGCATATCTCATATACAAATCTATAATTGTTAAGCAATATATATATCCTCTTTCGACTGGCATATGAATTAAATCGGCTGACCATATTTCATCTTTTTCAAACACTTTGACTTTTAAAAGTTTTTAGTTTTTCTAATTTCTTTATGAATTTCATCCGCTAATCCCATGCCTAATTTCATCTTTGCTTTTAGTTTAATGATCAGAGCCCTTTCCATTCTCTCTTTAAAAGTTGGATAAGGAATATTTTCAAGTTCGATTATCATTTGTCTGTCTGCTTCGTGTCTGAAGTCTTTGTTTCTATATAGTATGTCGTGTTTAAGCGCAGCAGCGTCAACTCTATTGGCAGGTTCTTCGCCTGGTTTGGGTTTATCGTTTTCGTCTAATAGCAGATCTAACCTGGTACCTGGACCAGTGTAATTATGACCGGGAAGATGTTTTTCTCCGGGATATTTAGCCCATGGAAATCTAGGAAGAGAACCCAATGATTTTTGTATATCTGAACTAAAATAAGTTTTTGGAGCGTGAGCGACAATCATTTTTATCCTATAACTTTAAAACCTTTTCCTTTCCTTTCTTCTAATCTCCTGTTTCGCAGATCTCTTATTAGTTGTAATTCTTTCAACTCGTCAGATTGTTTCACTGCGTCGCTTATACTCTTTCCCGCTTCCGCGATTGCATGCGCAGCTTTTTCAATGCATCATATCCGGAAAGACATAACTGTTAAAATGTATTATAACAGACTCCTCCAAACTGTATTATAACAGACTCCATATAAATTACACAGACAAGAATCACTAATAATAATACAGTAAAAAATAACCGCATTAAAAATGTCTTTGATTTTAAAACACGAAAAAAAAAATTTCGAAGGAGACGGTTTCTTCTCTGCGCTAACATCTCTCATCCCCAAAGTGGCCAATTTTGTCTCAAACAACAAATCCCTCATTTCCTCAGAAGCGCAAGCTCTTGGATCTGTGGCAAAAGCAGGAGTAAATATAAGCGATGCAGTGAAAAAATCTGACGAACTTAAAGAACTACAGCTAATAAGAGAGCTAAGAAACAAGAGACTAGAACGACAAGCCCTAGAAAAACAAGGAAAAGGGTTTAAAATCATTGGATAAAAATGGCAAGCAAAAATTACAGATTGGATCCAATCTTTCAATTGTATGATCCGATTCAATATTCGTT